GCGCATGGCTTGCGCGGCAGCTGCGGCCCAGAGCTGAGGTTGGGCGGGGGAGGCGGCTCGCTCAGTTCCCCTGGAACCCGGTCATCCAGAGGCGGCGGCCGGAGAAGCCGAGGAGCAGGGCGGCCCGAGGGCGCCGGGTAGGGGGCCGGGCCGCTCCAAGTGCCGGTGAGTTGTCGAAGTTGGCCAAGAAGTAGCAATCCTCGGGATGTCCGAGCGGGCGCCTTCAGGAGGGGAGAGCGCGAGCTGGGCCCCGCCCCCGGAAAAGGCAAGCGCGCGCCGCCGCGGCCGAAGGGCCGGGAGGGAGGGTGGGAGCCGAGCGACGCTGGTAGCACTGGACTGGCCCCAGGTGGGTTGCGTTTGCGAGAAGACTCGGCCGGAGACTGGAGCTTCGGCTCCCGGTGTGTGTCTCTCTAAAAGCTGCAAAGCCCCCCTCCAGACCCCCTCCCCCTCCCCGCGCTGGGAGATGGATGACTTGTCAGACAAAGGCAATAGATTCCACCACTCTGTGATTCGCCAGCGCCGGAGCCCCGAGCTTCGGCGAGGAGGGCCCCGCGCCTGTCACTCCGGTGCCGGCGAGGGGAGGGCAGGGGAGGGGGAAACGGGAGGGAGGGAGCAGCCTGCGAAGGAAGAGGGAGGGAGGGGAGCGGGCCAGGGGGGAGGGGGAAGGGGAGCCCGGGATTAAAACTACACTGAGAAACGAAACTCGCTGATAAGATAAACGTTAGATAAGGATAAAGAGTGGCCAGTCTAATGAATATTCAGGCAACGACAGAGGGCCGCGGAGCGCGCCACGCTCGGAAGACGGCTCACAGACGCACCTCACCCAGCCCTGCCATCCACCGGCCAGTGCCCGCAAGAGCCATGGGGTCCTGAGCTCCGTCCGCATCCCTAGTCCTATTCACCCCCACCCCCGCCAGCTCTGAGTTCCCTTCCGTTCCTCCTGGTTCTTCCTTCCTCTCTCTGGTCCTTCTCTTTCGCCTTTCCCTCTTGAGGTACCTCCCCAACCACGCACCCCCAATTCTCATTCCGGGGCAAAGTGCCCTGCAGTTTGTCCTCTCCCGTCCCACGCGCGGCTGCGCGTAGGGCTTCCCTTGTCCCCTTGCCTTACGGGGTCTAGACAGCCCAGAGCGCTCGGATTAGTAGCGAGCTGGAGACCTCCGGCGGGGACCCACCTGCCTCAGTGGGACCCAGGCGACCGTGGGAGAGCCCTGGGACTTGGCTTCTGGACCCTCGGGTGGCCAGGGAGGGGAGCTTGGGGAGGCAGTGCAGAACGACTGGTCGCTGGAGACCGAGGCTTGGTTCCCTCTCCCCGCCTGAGGAGAAGAAGCTGCGAACGAGGCTGAGCGCCGCCCGCTACCAGCTCGGTGGATCCGGAGCTAGCGCAGAAGGCGCAGCGCGCTCGGCCCGGCCTCGCTCCTGCTGGAGCCGCTGGCCCAGCCTCCGCAGCCCTCGGCCGCACTCGCTCCCTTGCTCGCTCAGGTCCGTTCGCACGCATCAGGCAGGAGAAGCCCTTTGTCTCCTAACTGGTTAAGTACAGAATATCCGGGAGATCTTTATGAAATATTTTCCCTTGTCTCATAAATCATCTTGGCACTTCAGCTGATGTTTTAACTCTCTCTCCCTCCTTTGCTCCCTCCCCCGCTTTCTGGGTCTGCGAAAGGGCGGCGCAGGGAAGCCCGCGCTGCACTCTTGCCGCCTGGACTCGAGGCGACTCTGTCCTCTGCCTGCCCACCCTGGCGCCTGCAGAAGCGCCGCGGACTCGCGCCACTGTTCTTCTGGCCGGAACCCAGGCGGCAGCTAGGTTGGGGGCCGAACTGGCCTGACTCAGCCAGGAGGAAAGTCCTACTGGGCCTCTTGCACCCAGGTTTTCAGAGCGCCCTTCATCTTCGGGCGGGGCTCAGGGCTGGCTCAGCCTCACGGGGTTCTGAGCCTCTCACTCCTTAGGGAGCCGGGTTTGCTGGGATCCTAGCATTCGCCCTTCTTCATGGAGCTTCCAGAGCCCGACCCGTTTAATCCACCTGCAGAGTAACTTCTGGGAGTAAAAATTCGCTCCCCGCCTGTCCCCTCCCTCCCAACCTCCACCCCTACTTCCCTTGGACGTTCAAGCTGGCTCCCTTGGGCTGGAGGTGGAAGGCGCAGGGTCCAGCCCCGAAGGTCAGTCTCTTCCTTTCGAGACCTGCAGATGGCGCTCCTGGGTTTGCTTTGGCCTCACAACCCCACGAACACGCATTAACTTGGTGTGGGGGGCGAAAAAAGAAAACAGAGTTCAGGCAGTCTGAAGGGAAAGGCTCCTGGGCTTGAGAGAAAGGGCCTCTCATGTGGGTATTAGCTGGTACAGCCTTGGGCTCCTTTCAGGGAGGTAAATTAACCCAGAACTGGGGAGAGAGGGTGGCATATAGGAAGGGTCCTTACTGAGAAGAGTTCAGAACTAAAGGAGTTCTTTGCCCCAGGTCTCCCAGTGTAACTCTAGGAAGTTGTCTTAGGGAGTCTGAACTCTTGGACACATCGACACAAAGACTCAGATTTTTCTAGAACCAGCTAGACATATTCTTAGGTTACACACACTATGAGGAAGTGTGAGTGCAGACAACAGGCATTTTTTCACATCAGGCAAGAGGGGTTTCATGTTTTGTAAAGAAGGGGACTTAATGCACAAAGTGTGCTGGAAGTGCACTCACACACCTACACGTCACACGGACCTCCTGAGGAGTGAAGACCCTTCCATGATAGTCCACTTCCCAGGCAGCCCCTGAGACTCCAGCACCCTACTCCCCCTGCTCCTAACACACTTCCCAGCACTGCACTAGCTGGACATTCACCCTCCACCAAGCCAGCTCCTGGCAGCTTCCTCCCTGGCACCAGCCTATTGGTGGATCTAGAAGGTCAAAGAGCAATGCTCCCTGATGATTAGAAATCCCTTTAGCCTTCTCCCAGGGCTCCATAGTGAAGGTCTGGATTACAGATTTCTCTCCAGAGGCGCTGGCCTCTCCCTCTGATGCTCCCTTTCCTGTTCTTCCCTTTCTTCTATAGTCTTCATAGAGGAGAAAAAAAGCCAGAAGGGAAAAAAGGGAAGAAGAAAGAAGAGGAAAGAGGAAAAGAAAGAGAAAGAAAGAAAACAACCCAACCCCAAACACAACCCGGGCTCCGACTTGTCAGGGTTCGTTGCTTTTCCCGTCTGCCTCTAAATGAACCTTTTCTCTCTGGTGTTTTCAAAGCGGCCCTTCCACCACCCCCCCCAACCTAGGGGCATTTACACTTCAAACAAGGCGCCCGCCTCCCTGCGGAAATTTAAAGGCAAATAAACTTTTGGGGAGTTGCTCTGATACCCATCTCGGGATTTGCTTCATTAGCCGCCTCTGTGCATCTGATCTGCCCAATAAATCTTCCTTGTGGATCTCCGTTCCTTCGCCGTCTCCTCTCCCTTCCCTGCCAGGCTCGCCTAGCGCTCAGCACCCCCGCCCTTGCCTCCTTCCTTGGTGCTGAGCTCCCGCGCCGCCTGGCTCTCTGGAGGTCCCGGACCTGTTCTGCTCAGTGTAGTTGTCTGAGAGGTGGTGGTCCCAGTTGAACACCCCTCTCCTCCCCCACAGTATACATACGCTAAGGTGCCCCAAACCAAGCCAAGCATGACAAGCACCCTGAAATCCCAGATACATTTATGGGCAGATTGTGCATGAAGTGATGTGCTCGGCAACCCCTGTCCACTGCCCCTAATTGCACCTTCTCCCTGCATGACCCTTCTGCTCCTTTTCTGGTTTCCCATTCCCTGGCCCAGCTCTTTCTGCTTGGACAAGGAAAGGCAGAGGCTTGGCTGCCTCGCCTTTGCATGCAGGGCTCTGACCTGGGGCCCAGGAGCCTGACCTCAAGCAGTTTGGGAAGGAGGCTGGGCCTGTGGGGGGACTGCTGGCAGAGGCCCCGAGGACCATCCCAGTCTTGCCCCTCCCCCATGGCCTGGACCAACCTTCCTCCTTCCACCTCCTGGGGAGCAGTGAGGGGAGCCAGGGAGGAGGCTCTGAGGGAAGGGATTAGAAATTCCGAAATTAAATGTATCTCGCTAGGAAATGCTCCCCACAGCGCGGACCAAATTAAACGCATTAAAGTTCGGGGGGTGGGGAGCTGTTTAGAACCAAGGGTAGGGGGGAACTAGTCCAAAGGGAAGAAAAGCTGAAATGGAGACGGGAAGATAGGAGGGTAGAGCAGAGCAGCAGCTCCGCAACCAAGCTCCTCTTCTGAACTATTCCCAGTTTTGGAAGTCATCACTACCACAAAAAAGGAGAAAGAAAAGAAAACCAAAGTTCGCCTGACAATTCATGTCTGGGACAGCCATGGCCCACTTGCCCCCAGGGTCCCCATGCACACCCCTGGGCGCATCCTCTCCAAGATCAGATCCTAAGCAGCTGGCGCCCGCACTCCGGCCCCCTCTCCAGCTCGACCTGACCAGCTCCGGCCAGGCCCTTTCCCCTCCTCCTCCCCATTCTCTCCCCGCCCCTCCCCCTTCCTAGCCCTCTGGTCACGTTGGAGGATGGTTTGTTTTTTTTTTTGGAAGAGCTTCTGGTACAATATGGAGCACCATGGGCTGCAATTTCACACTCCACGGCACATTCCCCCTAAAGCTACTTTCTTTTTTTTTTTTTATGTAAGACCCCCTAATTTCTGCTTCCTCGCTCCCTCCCTTGCTCCCTCCCTCCCTCCTGCTCTCACTCTTCTTTTCCTGCTTTTGTTCCCAATATTTGGGCTCCCCGCGTGAAGCCCGGGGGGCCTGACTCCCAGCTGGCCCCACCCGCTCTGTCTGTTGGTCCTGCGGAGGCCGGCGCACGTGCTGCGCCTTTATCCTCCCTGGCCCCACCCCCCCTTTAACCCAGCTTCTCCTCACAAGAGGTCCTAGCAACCCGCCGGCCCTTCGCAGCCCCTTTGAGGGGAAACGACAATGCAAGCCACTTGGCCACCAAAGCGGCCTCTTAGTGACACGGGCCTGCCAGGTGGCTGTCACCGGTAGGCCGCCCAACTGGGGAGATGAAAAAAATTGTCAAGCCAGGAAAAATTGGGCCAAAAATCTATAGGGTAGCGGTGGAGGGCTCTGTCCAACAGAGAACAAGCTAGAGGGAGGTGGGGGGACAAGAGGCCCAGTGAGGTCCTGGTACTCCTGGCTCAGACCTGAACACACAGCCTGCCCCCCGACATTTTATGGACTTCTGTACAGCTAAAGGGGCCACTCACCCCAAAGCCCAGGGAAGGAGCAATAACTATCACATGCTCAGTCCCTTTGCCTCCTTGAGCCTCAGTTTTCTTACCTGTAAAATAGGGATAATTACATTTGTCTTGCCTCTCCACGGAGCTAGCCAATAGGAAAGCATTTTAAAAAACCAACATTTCTATAGCAGATTAAGGAATAAGTGCCTAGCTTTTTGAACCCTTAACTTTCCACAAAGAGGGAAGGGAGGGTTTGGGGTGCTTGGGAAGGACAGGGGGTGGTGTTTTCCATCCAACTTGTAGGGAAGTTACCTTCCCTGTAAAGGTGATGAGGATTCTTAACGGCCTTCCTTCCTATATTCCTCCCTTTCGAACTTTTTTCTTTCTATTGACTATACCACACCCTGTCCATGTTCATCACTCTGCTTTCTGTCTCTCTTGCCTGCCACTCTTCCATTCCCACTCCTTCCTGTACCCCTTGCCCACTGCACCTCCCCAACTGTCAGGGTATCAGTTAAATACTACCCCTGCCCCCACCCCACAAACAGCCGGGTTAATTGTGGCCTCCAGCATGGTCCCCTTCCGGCAAGCTGGCCAAAGCCATTGGGAGGAGCTGGCCCATTGGCAGAGACTTCGGGAAGGAAATCCCGTCCAGCTGGGTTCCAAACAAAGAAAGCTGGTCCTCCCAGAACCTGCAGTCAACCTGTCAAAGCCAGAACAGAGATGAGATGGTGGGGAGAGGCCTGAACAAGGGGAGGTGAGGAAGAGAGGAGAGAGTAGGAAAAGAAAGGGATGTGAAAGGGGTGCTGAGGGACCAGAGAAGGCACCTGTTTCTGAAAAGCCTGAAGAGGCTGGTTTGGGCCAAGCTGACTCCCCTACCTAGCCAACTGTCCCTTCCCTTCTTCCCCAAGGGTGAGAGTCCCAGTGAGACTGAGGGTCCGTGGCGAGTAATGATTAACCCTCTTCTCAGCCAGGCCCTGAGCCCTCAGCCTGACCTGGCTGGTGGGGGGAGAGAGTGCCAGCGGGCCTCGGACGTACCCACCGCTACTTTCCACCAACAGGGCGACGAAAGGGGCTGCGGAGAAAAGGGACAGGCGGTAGCAAGGGGCAGCCGAAAGGGAACGGAGTGCAGGGCAGGGGGAGAGCAACTTCAGATACCGGGCAGACCAGGGGAAATAAAATAGCCACCGCCGATGTACAGGGAAAGGAAGGGGCCAACCGTGGGAGAGGGCGCGCGGCTCCGGCGGGGCTGAGGAAACTAGGTTGGAGGGGGGCGGGAGAACCCCGGTAGGCTG